TTTATGTCACGGACTCCCTCTTCTACTAAGGGCTAGGACGGTTGCCTTCTTACGAAGGACTTGTTTTAGCAGATGTAATCGTTACCCTGAGTGCATGCCCTTACTAACCTCTGTCCGTGACGGGGCGCGAACCCTCGACCTGCCGCCTCAGAGTCGCGGACGCTACCATTTTACCACGGAGACTACGATGATGGTTTCGGTTTTACGTAACGAACTCCCTTTTCAACTACGGCTAGGACGGTTGCCTTCTTGCGAAGGACTTATTTTGGCAGATGTAATCGTTACCCTGAGTGTATGCCTTTACTAACCTCAGTCCGTGACAGGGCGCGAACTCTCGACCTGCCGCCTCAGAGACGTGGACGCTACCATTTTGCCACGGAGACTACCAACTACACCACAGAAGGTCTTAAAAGGGATACACACCTTACAGCTTTTATCTGCTATACCAGGGATGAACGCATTCTATCTGAATGCCAATATTTTCATATTACAGTTTCCCCAACCTCACTTGTGGCTTCGTTTTCGCATTTAATTCACTCCCAATCTCTTTCCGGACCACCAATAATCAAATAAGAACATTACCATATGTGAAAACATGAAAAATTTTAACCCCGACCGGAACTTGAACCTGGGACATGTAATTACTATGCCAAGATGCTACCAACTACACCATAGAAGGTCTTAAAAAGAAAACACACCTTACAGCTTTTATCTGCTATACTAGGGATGAACGCATTCTATCTGAATGCCACTATGTTCATATTAGTAATTATATGTCCCAGGTTCAAGTCCCAGTCGGGGTAAAAATTATTCATGTTTTCACATATGGTAATGTTCTTATTTGATTATTGGTGGTCCGGAATGAGATTGGGAGTGAATTAAATGCGAAAACGAATCCACGAGTGAGGTTGGGGGAAACTGTAATATGAACATAGTGGTATTCAGATAGGATGCATTCATCCCTAGTACAGCAGATAAAAGCTGTAAGGTGTGGTTCCCTTTTAAGACCTTCTGTGGTGTAGTTGGTAGCGCCTTGGCATGGTAATTATTTGTCCCATGCTCAAATCCCTGTCGAGGTAAAAATTATTCATGTTTTCACATATGGTATTGTGCTTAATTGAATATATGTATGTATATATATATATATATATATATATATATATATATATATATATATATATATATATATATATATATATATATATATATATATATATATATATATATAAATATATATATATATATATATATATATATATATATATATATATATATATATATATATAAATATATATATATATATATATATATATATATATATATATATATATATATATATATATATATATATATATATATATATATATATATATATATATATATATATATATATATATATATATATATATATATATATATAAATATATATATATATATATATATATATATATATATATATATATATATATATATATATATATATATATATATATATATATATATATATATATATATATATATATATATATATATATATATATATATATATATATATATATATATATATATATATATATATATATATATATATACACGCAATAAAAACGTGAAATTAATTATACACTGTTTGCCACGAACACCGTGTTCAACAGAGTGCAGCAAAAATTGGATATATTTTAGCATGTCACTGAAAACTCCAGAATTGATCAGCTAGTCAGTATCGTTAAGTGTGGTTTGCATTCTCAGGTCTAAATAAAACTGAGATATAGAGGATTAGTATATAATTTAAAAGAAAGAATAAATGGCAAGCGTGGCATGGCATGTGATTCATTCCCTCAAAGATGATAACAGACATCAGAGGGTTGTCAGTGGGAAGGAGTGCTCCGAACAATCCCTCGGTATCTCCTGCAACGCTGCTTGTTTTCCAAACGTAAAGACTTTGGCCCGATTTCTTAAACAGTGTAAACCTAGGATACCATATTGTTAGTTAGCTAGACACACACAAATGGATTTCATAACAGCATTTGACGCGGTTCTGTGTATGGCTAGGATCCCGTACGGGATCCTAGCCATACACAGAACCGAGTCAGATGCGTTTATGAAATCCGTTTGTGTGTCTAGCTAACTAACAAAATGGTAGCCTAGGTTTACACTGTTTAAGAAATCGGGTCTTTGTCTTCCTTTTGGAGCTAATCAGTAGCGTCGAAAGGGGGGGGGGTTGTGGAAAAGGGCTAGACACTTCTCCCTTATCGTCAGACCAGGCAAGCAGCAAAGCTTTCAGCTGCTTTAAACGTTTGTCTCTCTAAACGAAAAGGTCATACCTACATATACAACTTTAACCTTATCTAAACTCCTGCTAATCTTCTTAAATAAACGCATCTGTAAAGATAACCTTCCCCCTAAACTTGTCTTCAGTATTTGACTGGGATACTCAACAGCATGATCAACCCGTTTACCATGTCTCTGTTCATATACAGTGATATAAAGCATGATCTTTACTAGTCCACTGTAGACTTCCCTCCTAAAGCAGGCACTGTACTTTTTATCAAACCATTTCACTCTACAAGTGAGTCTTTTCTTCAGGAAGTCTAACGGAGTGGGATGAACATCCGCGGCCTTCCCCTCCTTTATAGCATTTTAACGGATGACTACCTTTTCTTCCCCGACACAATGCCTCCTTTTTGCCTTCTTTCCCTAACTTCATGTTCCGGTTCCGGTTTTACGTCACGGACTCCCTCTTCTACTAAGGGCTAGGACGGTTGCCTTCTTACGAAGGACTTGTTTTAGCAGATGTAATCGTTACCCTGAGTGCATGCCCTTACTAACCTCTGTCCGTGACGGGGCGCGAACTCTCGACCTGCCGCCTCAGAGACGTGAACGCTACCATTTTGCCACGGAGACTACCAACTACACCACAGAAGGTCTTAAAAGGGATACACACCTTACAGCTTTTATCTGCTATACCAGGGATGAACGCATTCTATCTGAATGCCAATATTTTCATTTTACAGTTTCCCCAACCTCACTTGTGGCTTCGTTTTCGCATTTAATTCACTCCCAATCTCTTTCCGGACCACCAATAATCAAATAAGAACATTACCATATGTGAAAACATGAAAAATTTTAACCCCGACCGGAACTTGAACCTGGGACATGTAATTACTATGCCAAGATGCTACCAACTACACCATAGAAGGTCTTAAAAAGAAAACACACCTTACAGCTTTTATCTGCTATACTAGGGATGAACGCATTCTATCTGAATGCCACTATGTTCATATTAGTAATTATATGTCCCAGGTTCAAGTCCCAGTCGGGGTAAAAATTATTCATGTTTTCACATATGGTAATGTTCTTATTTGATTATTGGTGGTCCGGAATGAGATTGGGAGTGAATTAAATGCGAAAACGAATCCACGAGTGAGGTTGGGGGAAACTGTAATATGAACATAGTGGTATTCAGATAGGATGCATTCATCCCTAGTATAGCAGATAAAAGCTGTAAGGTGTGTTACCCTTTTAAGACCTTCTGTGGTGTAGTTGGTAGCGCCTTGGCATGGTAATTATATGTCCCAGGCTCAAATCCCTGTCGAGGTAAAAATTATTCATGTTTTCACATATGGTATTGTGCTTAATTGAATATATGTATGTATATATATATATATATATATATATATATATATATATATATATATATATATATATATATATATATATATATATATTATATATATATATATATATATATATATATATATATATATATATATATACACGCAATAAAAACGTGAAATTAATTATACACTGTTTACCACGAACACCGTGTTCAACAGAGTGCAGCAAAAATTGGATATATTTTAGCATGTCACTGAAAACTCCAGAATTGATCAGCTAGTCAGTATCGTTAAATGTGGTTTGCATTCTCAGGTCTAAATAAAACTGAGATATAGAGGATTAGTATATAATTTAAAAGAAAGAATAAATGGCAAGCGCGGCATGGCATGTGATTCATTCCCTCAAAGATGATAACAGACATCAGAGGGTTGTCAGTGGGAAGGAGTGCTCCGAACAATCCCTCGGTATCTCCTGCAACGCTGCTTGTTTTCCAAACGTAAAGACTTTGGCCCGATTTCTTAAACAGTGTAAACCTAGGATACCATATTGTTAGTTAGCTAGACACACACAAATGGATTTCATAACAGCATTTGACGCGGTTCTGTGTATGGCTAGGATCCCGTACGGGATCCTAGCCATACACAGAACCGAGTCAGATGCGTTTATGAAATCTGTTTGTGTGTCTAGCTAACTAACAAAATGGTAGCCTAGGTTTACACTGTTTAAGAAATCGGGTCTTTGTCTTCCTTTTGGAGCTAATCAGTAGCGTCGAAAGGGGGGGGGGTTGTGGAAAAGGGCTAGACACTTCTCCCTTATCGTCAGACCAGGCAAGCAGCAAAGCTTTCAGCTGCTTTAAACGTTTGTCTCTCTAAACGAAAAGGTCATACCTACATATACAACTTTAACCTTATCTAAACTCCTGCTAATCTTCTTAAATAAACGCATCTGTAAAGATAACCTTCCCCCTAAACTTGTCTTCAGTATTTGACTGGGATACTCAACAGCATGATCAACCCGTTTACCATGTCTCTGTTCATATACAGTGATATAAAGCATGATCTTTACTAGTCCACTGTAGACTTCCCTCCTAAAGCAGGCACTGTACTTTTTATCAAACCATTTCACTCTACAAGTGAGTCTTTTCTTCAGGAAGTCTAACGGAGTGGGATGAACATCCGCGGCCTTCCCCTCCTTTATAGCATTTTAACGGATGACTACCTTTTCTTCCCCGACACAATGCCTCCTTTTTGCCTTCTTTCCCTAACTTCATGTTCCGGTTCCGGTTTTACGTCACGGACTCCCTCTTCTACTAAGGGCTAGGACGGTTGCCTTCTTACGAAGGACTTGTTTTAGCAGATGTAATCGTTACCCTGAGTGCATGCCCT